CAGCGAGAAGAAGCTAACAGAACTCAAGCAGGAGGTCTTTGTCGGTCTTAGGGAACAGGACACGGGTGCTTTACAAGTTTTGGAGATCGGGGTTGGAGGTGGAAGCAACTTTAGATACTACCCTCCTGGAACCTCCGTCATCGCCGTGGACCCAAACCCTCACTTTGACCAGTATCTTAAAGAAAACTCGGACAAGTACCCGGATGTCAAGGTCAGAGGCTTTCAAATTTATGATGTTAACCGAAGGAAAACATATTGTTTTTGCTCTGTTTCTTCTGCTTCTCCATGCAAATAAGGTCAATGACCTGAGCCAGACGCCTGTCACTATGGTCACTAGTGTTGGGTTACATAATGTTGCAATTTTATAACAGAAGGGATTTTGCACATTATGCATTCGCTTGGCAAATGTTACCTTTCTAGTTTTTTTATGTTTACTTTTCGCGCGAATGACAGTTTCACAGATAAAAAATTCAGTCATTTTTTGTTATATTTTCCGTCCGATTTTTATTCAGGGTTCCCAGCTCAGTGGCTAACATTGCTTTAGAGTGGGACCCCGCATCATACATGAAAACATCAATAAATAGAAAATACAAAATTCATAGCTTACTGTTATGGTTTCATAAGATATCCTAAACGTTCACGTCTGCAGTAAATTAAAAACGCGTTGATTTTTATCGTCACCAGGTGACGAAGTTCATAGTCGCGGGGGCAGAAGACATGTCTGCGGTGGCGGAGGGATCTGTGGACGCTGTGGTGTGTACTTTGGTCCTGTGCTCCGTCCAAGACATGGACGCCTCAATCCGAGAGGTCAACAGAGTTCTCAAACCGGTAAACTTTTGCTTAAATAAATGTTCTATTTCCGATGTGTAATAAAATAAAAATTAGGTAAGATAAGTTGTGTGTTATATTGTTTCCCTATTGTTGTCAATGCATTTATTCCTCTTCTTCTGCAAACAAATAAGGTCAATGACCTGAACCAGACATCTGTCACCAGGGAAACTAGCAGTGTTGAGTAACATCATGTTACAATTTTACATCATATATATGTCATCATATATATGAATGTGTTTGAGTAAGAATTAACAGAGCAGACCATCTGCGAATGTAAACATTATGCATTTGCTTTGCGAATGTTACCTTACTAGTGTTTTGTACATATTTTCCTAGTGCCTGTGTGTCGTGTTGTGACTCAGGAAGAATAGCTACTGTCGACATGTACACGAATGTAAATTATACAAATATAACCTCCATCCTAACCAAAGCTTTAACTTCTAGACAACGACAACGGACATGCTTGGACAGTTATGCTTGGTCAAGTTGGTGTATTCTCTACCAGCCATGACGAAAAAATGACTTCCACTTAAAAAGGATGACACTGTGACGTCATTATCTGTAAAAGCTAAATGGTTTATTCCATGAGTGTTTCACAGGGAGAGGCAGGATTGTTGTGTTCTTTTTTAATTATGAAAAAAAGTGGGAGAAACCACACGGAATGCGTTCCCTTCCTCCGGTTCCTTGAGGAACGGTCATCAATGGCCGGGAGCCCGGAGCCCCAGGGGCTCCACTCCCGGCCAACTTCGCGCTCAGAAGGGAACGCTACCGCTCGTCATCGTGGCTTCTGCGTGCGTTCACGTTTCCGTGAGAATGCATGGGATACACACTATAGAAATGATCTCTAAAAGTATGGTCTTGGAGTGTTGCTGTTTCGTGCGTAAATAGGTATCAAACGCTTCAACGCATTGTAAACGGTTAAATTGTACCCAAACATTTGAGTTTATATTCGTGCATAAAAGTGGAAAAGGGGACAAACTTATGATCACAGTAAATAAAAACATTGAAATCAATTTCTCATGAAAAGTGCTTTACTTTATTTCTTCAACCTTTGCAGTTATTGAACAATAATATTCTAAATTATCAGTATACATAGGTAATTAGTTGTGTTGCATCACGGGAGAGCGGGAAGTTTAAAGCGTCAAAATAAACACCATTGTATTCGCCCTGGTTTTTTCGAGCACGTGTGTGATGGTGTGATGAAGATGAGTAGCTGACGGTAAACTCAAGAAGCAGTGAACGAGCCAAATTAGTGTTTGAGTTTGGGTTTTATCCAGATCCACAATTAGCCATTCATATTACAACTGAAGGGAAACGTATAAAGACATACAAAGTTAACAGCATATCAATTTTACTGTGTTCATCCCCTCACTCAGGGTGGAAAGTTCTACTACCTGGAGCACGTCCGGCACCCGAGCGAGTCGCGGGCACAGTTTGTACAGGACCTCCTCACGCCCGTGTTCCGGGTTCTGTCCGACGGCTGCCACGTCAACAGGGAGACCTGGAAACACCTGGACGGTGCCGGGTTCACAGAGGTCAAGTACAGGATAGAGGGGAACCTCAGGCCCAAGTTCATGACTCAGATTCTGTACGGCACGGCTACCAAATAGATAGACTGGGGTAATAACTAGCTGGGGTCCGGTGGCGCAGCGGTAGCGTGTTCGGCCCAGGCCCTAGAGGTCCCGGGTTCAAATCCTGCCTTTGTGCACTTAACACGACTCTCCTCACTTCACTCAGGTGTAAATGAGTACCTAGCTTTGGTTAGGGACGTCCCTCGGATATATATATATATATATAGGACGTTAAATGGAGGTCCCGTGTTTGGTGAGAGCCACACCCCACGCACGCCCACCGCATTTATTGAAAAGATTAGAGGACCTTCCCGGTGTGAGTGGTCTCAGGTTTGACATCTTGAAGAGGGGATAGTCACCTGTTATGTAATCCTTCCACAAATGTGGTAAATCTTCATAAACTAAAAAAAAAATGAAATAAAGACTGTGTTTAAGTAAGTATCAAGTTATCGGCCGATCGGAAACACGTGGAGGATGCCTGGTTGACTGAGGTCAAGTATACAGGATAGAGGGAAACCTCAGGCTCAAGTTCATGACGCAGATTCTGTACGGTTATCCTTTTTAAACAATTCGCATTGATTTTTCTGTAGAAAAGGACAGAAACAACGAGGGTCTTTTCATTAAAAAAACGACAGAATATAGAGATAATGTGATCATAATAGATCAACAATAGTAACAGAATTTCAGAAAGTCTAGAATGATGGCGTGATTCGTGGCGTTGTTAACAGTTTGCGTCGGGTGGTGTAGTGGTAGACCATTCGACTGTGAACCGGGAGACCTGGGTTCGAACCCGAGTCGTACCCGGGACATGTCTGGACATGCGCCTGACGTTGTGCCATTGGGAAAGGCACTTTACACGACTTCCCTCACTCCACCCAGGTGTGAATTGGTACCTAACTTCGGTTGGGGAAAGTCGTATTGAGGTCACCTTGTGGCGCCGAATGGCAGCCGCACCTTGCGACAGTTCCACAAAAATTGTGGAGAAAATATTTGTGTTATCATGTGTATTACTTGTTTGTTGTGATTTGTATTGATTATTATCATATAGCCAGAAAGCGTCGACCAATAAGAAGGCTCCATTCCACATTCCTTATGACGCCGTAATGTCACAAATAGAGTCAAAATCGGGTATTTATTCATCCCAATCCATACATTAAACAACCCAAATAATCACCCGCAGAACAGGGCTCTAGTTCTAAAAAATCCAAAAATAACTTGTGTTCCAATGACCTCGGCTGACTCCCATAAGAACACCTGTTCCCTGCCTGTGACCCAGATAGAAGACATAGAACGTGAACTCTACCCAGTGACCTCAGGTGACTCCAGAGGGAACTACGTTCTATGTTCTATTCAGCATGTGCATTGTATCACGTACTGCATCAGTTTGGATAGACTATCGTGTAAGCTGCGCTCACTTGGTGGCTTTATTCTGTGGTTATAGCAACTGACAAGGCTTTATCACACCATATTCACCTTAGGGCGGGACATTAACCCTTAATTATGTGATACCCTGCATACATTCAGCCGTTAAAGGCTGCGACTGCACGGTTACTGTCCATATTTGGACAATAAAAAAAAATTTTAAATTCAAAAAAGCTGTAGACGTGCCTTTATTATTTTGCCTGCACTCATATTATTCAAAATAGCAAAATTTAAGAAACCAACAATCTTCTGCAGATGAAAGCAAGGATGCTATAACCTCATTGATGAAAGTGCCAGTAGTAATAGGTTCTCCATCAATAAGGATATTAAAATTGGTTAATAGATTCTTTATCTTCTACAATACCATGGGGGGGGGGTACACTGTTAGGTGTTACTGTTATTACCACGCAACTGATTTATAAAACTAATTAGTTAGTCTGCGTGTCAGGAGGCAATTTTCTCGTACCTCTTGTTCATTACCAACCCTTATTGTGTAGTAATTGCTTAATGCATGAACATGTCACTTGAAGTTATTCGTCTGGGAAATTCATAACGTATAGTGCACAGAACCTGTTGCACTGCTTGCAGACAGTGGTACTTTTACGTATATACCGAAAATTATCTTTAAAACGACGAAAACATTTTCCTTAGCTGACCGAGATCTTATCCAGTTTGCTTACAGATCTGCGTTTCAAGGGTACCAACAAAAGGTATGTGACATGTAGTGTTTCAAGGAGCTTCCATTCGCGTTTTGGATGAATGGTTGACATACGAGTGGGCGGTATGTAGGAGGTGGGAAGGAAAGCGCAGCCATGTTGTTTTTGCTCCTCTTGACAGCTGTCTGTGCAGATTCAAGGGGTCAGCGTTCTTCTCAGTGTTACAGAACTGATAACGGGCGGGAGTGTGTGCCTTTCACAGGCAAGCCGGTTTTAAACTTTTACCATCCTACAGGTTTATGTGTCGTGTGTAAGGTCCAGAATCGGGATGGTGCTTCTACAAGTCCTTTCCCTTTTCTTGCTGGAAAAATGGCTGTGGCAATAAGAGGATACCCATTCCACGAACTTTCGGCCGAGAAACTGGCAAAGCTTGAGCGATCGGAGGTCGACACCTTAGCTTTGATAGACGCACAGATCGTTGATGTGAAGAACAACACTTTCTCTGATTTTCCCAGGCTTAGACGTTTGAGTCTAGATTCTAACAGGCTGACAAATGTCAAGCGGGCCTGGTTCACGGGTTTAGAGCCCCTCTTGGTGCTGATTTTGGCCAACAACAGCATCAAGCAGATAGAGCCGGGTACCTTCATGGACCTAACTAACCTTAGTCTGTTGGATCTAGATAACAACATGTTGCAGGTTGTAGACCCTGCCTGGCTCTTTGGATTGGAAGGTACAAAGATCTGTCTGATTCTGAGGTCAAATCCTATCAATAGCATTTCGCCAGGGGCATTCCAACACCTTCAGCTGACGACGTTAGACTTGAGGGATAATGATCTGTCTTCTTTGGACAAAGAGGTCTTGTGGGGACAGTCTTCGCTGTCACAGCTACATGTTAGCAGTAGTAGATTGTCTTCTGTTCATGGTGCAATGCCGCATCAAATAGTGTGGAGGTTAGATCGAAGAGTCCAAGAACGTTCCTCATCAGGACTACTATGGTTTACCAGTGAGGTTGAAGCGGCAGCAACAGTGGTCGTTGAGGTGCCCAAATTCCACTTCTGCGCCAGGGACAAAGCTTATTCTCATGAGCTATCATTTGGGTGGATGTTTGATCCATCACGCATTGAGGTGGGAAACAACGATATGAGTGCGAGAAATATCAAACCTGGCATATCATGTGGTGATCTGGATAGTTCACTGAGCACGATCTCCATCCAGTCCCCTTCTGTTGTCTTGGCTTCGGATGGCTCTCGATCTCTGACAGACCAACTGGACACCAACGCCCCTGAGCAGTGCAGGCAGGTTTGGGAAAGCGAAGGTGGCATTTCAGTGACCCTGTTGGAAAACTCAATCTTCCGTCTGATTTCTATGGCTACTGTTGAGAACACCGGAGGTGTTGCCATGACGTTTGCTCAGACACCAGACGCAAGCACATCCACCAACCAAGAGCCTGGCAGCAGCCAGAAGCACACGACAAACACAAATATCACTCATTATAACACAAAGAACATCACCTGCATTCTTCTCACCAAAGGGGAATACGCGAAGTTTTTCTTCACCTCGGTCCAAAGTCAGACCCACACAACAGAAAGCTCTTCCAGAATAGGCACTAAGCTATCAAGTAGCCTGACACACTACTCTGTAACTACAGAGAGAGACGAAAATGATGTGACGACACCGTCAAAACCGATGGACCAGTCTACACCTGAGGTGAGTACCTCACCTGGACCGGATCCAGAGGTGGGTGGGACACCAGGTTATGTTCTCATCCCAGTTGTTGTCTCGGTAGTGGTTGTTTTGGTCTTGTCATTCCTTGCAGTGCTGATGTGGAAAGTGTGTGCAGCGAGAGTAAAGTTTAACACTGATGATGACAGGGCACACGTTTGGAATATACCTGGCTTGCTGAGGTCTGCCTCTCGCCCTGAACGTTCAGGAAAGGTGCCGTCGGCTGTCGTCGTGTCCTGTAGGTCATGGCCCGCTGTCCTGCATTCCAGCACGCCTACTTATAGCGAGATTCCAGATGACGTATCTCGTGCTCAGAGGCCGCTGTCTGCTCTACCAGACGTATACCGGAAAATCCAAGACGACGTCATTTCCGGCATTGTAAGGTCAGCTTCTCTCCCGGCTTGCACTCTTAGGTTCACCCCAGACGATGCGGTATCCTGTAGGTCATTGCCGGCTGTCCTAGAGTCCATCAAACACACCTACAGTCAGATCCCAGATCACATAGCCGCTGCGCAGCGCCCCCTGCCGGCCCTCCCACGTACATCCTGGGAGATCCAAAATCACGAACTTCAAGCTTCTGCACAGCGCCCTTTACATGTCCTTACACACCACTACAGTCAGATCCCAGATCACATAGCCGCTGCGCAGCGCCCGCTGCCGGCCCTCCCACGTACATTCTGGGAGATCCAAAATCACGAACTTCAAGCTTCTGCACAGCGCCCTTTACATGTCCTAACACACAACTACAGTGAGATCCCAGATGATAAGGATAGTGGCCCCATGCCTTTGTACCTAGATGTTGCAGAGTTTTCGCTGCATGCTGTCCCAAGCAGTCAACAGAACCGACGGTCTGGAAGATCAATTGTTACATATGGATCGATTGGACACACCAACGCCCAGCAAAATATTTTTTACAGAAACGCTTCCCAGGTAAAAAGTATCATGAGCCGTCGTAGGCAGCTGAGGTCTTTGGTATCTCAGCCTACTGATCAAGTTGCAATGACGTACGTCAACGTCACAGATGCAAGGCTGTCAAGAGGTCAAGACGACAAGAGAGCTCATATAACCTATTTCTCACTGCCTAACATTTACTGGCCATGGGAGATCCCAGGGGAGGGAACCCGTAACACAGCACGGCGTGCGTCCCTCCCCACCGTCACACTACCTAACACCTACAGGCCATGGGAGATCCCAGGGGAGGGAACCCGTAACACACCACGGCGTGCGTCCCTCCCCACCGTCACACTATTTGACACCTAAAATCCAGGGGAGTTAGAATTTTCCAGGGGAGGGAACCTGTAACATAGCACGACGTGCATCCCTTCCCCTATATATAAAATACTAAACACCCAAATGGCTAAGGGATATCCCAGGGGAGGATACCCGTAACGCAACATTGATGAAGATGTTGTTTACCATCATTTTACTGTTAGGTGAACCACGTAACTGATATGTCAAATGAAAAAAAAACTATTTCCGTATGATTGGTCTGCGTGTCAGGAAGCATGTTCCTCTTTGCCTCTCGTACATTAACAATCGTTATTGTGTCAATTACCTATTGCATACACTTGTCAAGTCATTCGTCTGGTAAATAAATAGTGTCCGTACTTGCAGAGCCTGTTGCACTGCTTGTAAAAAGTGTTTTATGATGCCAAAAATTATCTTTATCACACTGAAGAAAAAAGTTCTCAGGTGACCGAAAGCTTAACTTTGATATTACTTCCAGATCAGCGTGTCAAGGGCACCAACGTATGTGACAAAGGTTTTGGATGAAAGGTGTGGGCAGTATGCATGTACAGGTGGAAAGAAAAAGGCAGCCATGTTGTTTGTACTTCTCTTGACAGCTGCCTGTACTGTGCAGCCTCAGCGGGCCCATGTTTGCCTCCGTGTAAGAGAGCTGGATGGCTAGAGTGTGTCTTTCACAGGCAAGCCGTCACTTCTCCCTGGTATATAGGTTTATGTGTTATGTGTGATGTCCTGAATGTTTATGATGCCTCTAGGAGTCCTTTCCCTTTTCTTGGTAGCGTAATTGGTGTAGCAATAAGAAGATACACATTCCATGAACTTTCGGCCGAGAAACTGGCAAAGCTTGAGCGTTCGGAGGTCCACACATTTTTTTTCAATTCCGAAACATGTAATCACAAGACGTGGTGACGACACACTCAAGTTTTTTCAACTTATATTAATGCCGACACCAACACAGGAACAGTACAATAATCATTTACACCTGAGCGAAGTGAGGAAAGTCGTGTAAAGTGCCTTTCCCAAGGGCACAAGATCGGTGGCATGTCAGGACTCGAACCCGGGGCCTCTGGTTCCGAGTCGACAACGCTGCCGCTGCGCCACACGACCCCACAGGTCCACATTTTAGCTTTGATAGATGCATAGATCGTTGAGGTGAAGAACATCACCTGTATTCTTCTCACCGGAGGTGAACACAAGAAGCTGTTCTTGACCATCCCCTTCCTAAAAAGTCAGACTGAAACAACAGAAACCTCTTACACACCTGGCACCAAGGAATCCGAAAGCCCGACACACTACCCTTATGCTACGGAGAAGGATGGCACATGTTCAAAACCGGTTAACCAGTCCACATTTCAGATGGGGACCACACCCGTGCCAGATCTAGAGATGGTTCAGACACCAGACCATGTTCTCATCCCAGTTGTCTCGGCAGTGGTTGGTCTGGTGATTTCGATCCTTTCAGGGTTAATGAGGAAAGTGTTTGAGGCCAAGGGGTAAACGCTGATGATAGGACCAGTGACAATGCACACATTGGGACAATCCCGACTGGGGTTACCTCTTCCGGCTTGCTGAGGTCTACTTCTATCCCTGCACGTTTAGGCAAGATGGCGTCGGTGGTTGAGGCAGTCTCCTGTAGATCATTGCCCACCGTCCTGTATTCCATGGAACATACTTACGGCGAGATCCCAGATAAAGAAGCCCGTGCTCATCATATCAGAGGTCTCTGCCCGGCGTCCCACACGTGCCTGTCCCAACACACATGTACGGTGAGATCCCAGATAATGAGCATAGCGGACCCATTCCATTGCATTCTAAAGTACACAAAGACGTACATCAACGTCGATCCTAGGGGAGGGAATACGTAACACACGACGGCGTGGGCCCCTCCCTCTTACACTACCTAACACCTACTGGCAATGGGAGATCCCAGGGGAGAAAACCCGTAACATAGCACGGCATGCGTCCCTCCCCACCGTCACACCACCTAACACCTACTGGCCATGGGAGATTCCAGGGGAGGGAATCCGTAACACACCACGGCGTGCGTCCCTCCCCACCGTCACACTACCTAACACCTACTGGCCATGGGAGATCCCAGGGGAGGGAACCCGTAACACAGCACGGCGTGCGTCCCTCCCCACCGTCACACTACCTAACACCTACTGGCCATGGGAGATCCCACGGGAGGGAACCCGTAACACACCATGGGAGATCCCAGGGGAGGGAACCCGTAACATAGCACAGCCTGCGTCCCTCCCCACCGCCACACTAACACCTGGCCATGGGAGGTCCCAGGGGAGGGAACCCGTAACATAGCACAGCCTGCGAAAATAGTTTTACCTTCGCCCAGAATGTTATATCTGTTTGTGTGTCTCTGTGCCTGTGAACTCAATTACTTGAAATTTGTTTGTGGGTAGGTTTTTCAAGATCTCAAAATGGACAATTGTACTGCAAAGAAAAATGGATACATTCTACCTTTCAATTACACACAAATTAATCAATGACTGGAATATTTTACCTAGTCCTTGTTCGGGACGATTGTTTCATGACCTACGAAGATTCATCATAAAATTAGGTTGAAAGATTCAAATAGATAAAACAGATAGAAATTGTCAATAAGTATTGAGTGGGAATTGTCACAGTGGAGATATCACTCGATCGATCAATCGATCGATTAATCAATCAATCAAGGAAATTGATAAGGCAATCAATCAATCAATCAATCAAGGAAACAGATAAGTCAATCAATCAATCAATCAAGGAAACAGATAAGTCAATCAATCAATCAATCAAGGAAACAGATAAGTTGCACAAACTTACTTAGTTTCCTTTCATTTTCTTGAGCTAATCTTTCTCCGCGAGCAAGGACATCTAACTCTTACCCCAAACATTATATGGATGCCTTTTCTAGCCAAAAATGTGTTTTCAAATTTATACAGGAATTGAAAACATGCACTAAAGGCAGATATACAGCCGTCTAGCAACATGCTCTTATATTGCACTAAGATATTTGGTAGAGGCGTGTTGTATTGGTCCCTAAGGCTTAGGCAAAACGTTTATTTAGGTTGATCTGAAAGGAACACGCTCTTTTTGTCGCACGCTGATTATCAATTATGAAAAGTCCCAGGTTAATTAGCCAACTCTGGAGACTAATTTTGCATAGAAATTTTAACCAGCCGGCGAATGATATGTATGTCTTTTGCCGACTAGATTCGAATTATTTGGTTCATTATTTTGAGAATCACAAGGGGGGTGGTTGAGAACACCGTTTCATGCCCGCGCGCGTCTACGTACATGTACATGATTGTACAATCTCCAGGCTATAAGTCGTTACATTCGCTAGCCTGGATACCAGCCTTTTAGCGGCCATTTGACTGGAAAGTTAAACGGCTGGCACTCAGGCTATGAAGCCTCATCATGCGCAAAAAACAGTTACACAATATGATTTTGGAAGTCATATGCAAAATCATATCCAGTTGCTTAAGTAACTGGTTTTGGCGTATCCTATTTCCTGGATGTCTAACCTTTACTAGCATGACCATGAATTAGTGGGATGTGGAGCACAAGCATGTCCTTTAAATAACGTGCACATTTCGGGATTTTCTTGATAACTGCTTATAACAACATAAAGACTGCGCTCACACAAAATTATAGAACAATAACAACGAAAAAAACTAGATTTAGAATTTATCTCAAAACAAGCTAGGCCTTAGGCGTGAGATAGAAAATATGACAGACAACAGTATGAAAAAAAAGTTGTTTTTTTTTCTAGGATTTTCTCTATATGAAGTCATGACTCTGAAACATAAGTGTTCAAAAGCGAAGAAAATATGAATGAACGAATAAGATACTATCTAGCGTTGTGTCCGATCTTTGGTGGTACCGGTAGAAAATACTTGCTGTATATAGCAAATTGTACAGCATTGTGCGTAGAAAGGCTATATCAGACGCATGTTAAAAAACTGGCTGTCATGAGCCTATAGCAGCCAGTCAAATAATGGGAGGTTGAGCTAAAATAATACATGTACCATACAGAATATTGTTAGCAAATCATCTGCAAAGTCTAAAATATTGTAACCGTATAGTAACCGATGAGCTGTAACTGCCTCAAATACTGTAGTAAAATGTAAATAAAAAACAAGCGGGGGCAAATTTTGAATGGCGATGTTTTGTAGTGATGTGTCAACTCCTCAATTTGACCACCGTCAAATCCCAGACATATCAAACTACAATTAAGCGGTGTGTGGTGATCTAGTCTCCGGATCACTGATCCAGTCTGGAACTAGAACCCAAGTCTGGAAGCTAAGTTGGAGGGCTATTGAATTTTAAAGGCACTACCACACTACTACTTTACAAGTATTAAACTTACACCGTAGCTCGTACATTCCATTCCATTACAGAACTGGGCTGGTGCATGCGCTGTATGAACATTTGTTTATTGTTTTTTTATTTGTTTATTTAACCAGAGAACATGTCGCTATGGAGGGCAGTTTTCAATGCACCCGGGGGGGGGGGGCGCATCCTCAAACACAATAAAATAATAACAATACAACATAAAGTAATCGCTGAAGGAACTTAAGTAACAGGAGAATAAGAGGTCCAAAATAGGCATACATCAAATAAATCACACAGAAATTAAATAAATGATAATTGATAAGAAATAATTCATGCTGAATTGTAAGTTACGTGTTCTCAAAGACACAGATACCGGCAACTAGATGTATAAATTTGAGGGGATTCATTCCTCAGCTAACCGACACCTTGGACTATACATTAGTTTCTGGGCCGTGATAGTGACATCTACCAGTTCTGTAGTCACAATCTTGTGAATCTTTATCATTTCTCCAAGCACAAAAAATGAACGAGTACATTTTTATATTTCACTGTAGGGCATGAAATATGAAAACTACATGTAGTTTCAAACTCACCATGCAGCTCATACTTTTCATGTTAAATGCTAGACTGTTCAGATATGATCTATGTATATTCATACTGCGACATGTTTTTGTGTCATATATACAAACCAGCGACTAGATTGTACAACAGAACATCTACATGTCTCTAAACTCCGATGGTGACATCTACCAGTTCTAGATCTGAACTCACAGCGTATCTCTACCATCTCTAGTACAAATATATCACGGGATACGCTATGTGCATTTTAATATTGTAGGACTTTTGCTATTGAGTAATCTTTAAGGATGGTCAAAGTTTCCGCTTGAGACCGTAATAAAGATCATCGTTACAACAAAAAAAATAATAGAAAAACACTGACCGTGCCCGTACGTATGACATGTCGTACTTGTACAAGTCCTACAACTCTATTACAGGTAATTCCCAAACTCACAACGTACACTCCATTCCAAATATATATCTTGTCTGCGGTGTTATATATATATATATATACATGACCGTGGCTGTACGTATGATATGTCGTACCTGTACATATAAAGTCCTACAACTGTACGACAGGTAATTCCCAAACTCACAACGTAGCTCGTACGTACGCTCCATCCCAAATATATATCTTGTCTGCGGTGTCATATGAATATTCATAATGCAATACGTGACGTGCACGTGTTCTCAATGGCATAATCATACCAGAGACCTAGATTGTACTTCAATGTATATACATTTAGTTTCTAGGCTGTGATGGTGACACTATATATATATATAACCAGACGTGAGTACTGAACTCACAACGAATCTTTACTATTTCCCTATGAGTATAGCAATAATGGGTACGCTATGTACGTTTTTTCATTGCATTGTACGACTTGTACACCTGAATCATTTTCAGGGCTGGGCAGGTTTTTAAATTAGCATGTGACAACAATGCAGATCACCATGAATAACACATCAATATCTGCATCTATGCCTTGCCTATCCAGCCACTTTGTAAATGGAATCTACCGTACATGTGAATGTGAAAAGCTACTACTGTACTACATGTACATGTAGTAACAATCTCATAACGTCGCTCGTTTACTCCATTCCAATTTAATACAGAAATAGTTCTGTGCGCTATTTACATACCCATACTGCATTATAAGTGACGTGTTCACAGATACCTACCAGCCTTAAGATTGTATATAATGAGGCATATACATTACTTTCTGGGATGCGAAAGAAACATCTGCTGGTTCTGAATTCACAACGATTGGACAAATCTTCAGCAGTTCTTCGATGGGTACGCTGTGTACTTTCATATTTCATTGTATGGTTTGTGTACGACATGTACTTCAAACTTGACTCGCAACGTATGTAGCTTATACATTTCATTTTAGATATAGAACTGGTCTGGTGCGGTATATGTATATTCAGTATGCGATGTGTTTTAGGTCATACATGTATATACATACCGGCGACTAGATTGTACAACAGCACATGTACTTGTCTTTAGACTCCGATTGTGGCATCTTGACCATCCCTATCAGTACAAAAAATATCAGTGGGAAAGCTATGTATATTTTGATATTGAATTGTCATAATATAATATAAGTCATCTTCTTGGCAACTGTATTCATAACTTACATTTACCTTATTTCATTGTCATTAATTTATACCGTATATTATTTAATTATCCTTATTGTATTATTTCTATTTTCTATTCTATTATTTCCATTTATTGATTATATCTAATGTTGTACGCCAAAAAACAGTTACTCAAGCAACTGGATATGATTTTGAAGAGGGGAAAGCAGTTTTATAAATACAACCTGTTGATTGATATGCAAATAAAGTGAAGACAAATTTTTTGGAAGTCGAAAAAGGAACAAAAGTCAGACAAGTCAAGACAAAATGATGCAAATTAGTCTGAAAGCTCCTGTTATACAGAACAGGAGCTTAAAACCTGCTTTCCCCTCTGGTCTCTCAGTCACTGACGAAAGCTAGTGGATACTAGCTGAAACGTCTGACGTTTTCAAAAAAAGTTGCTTGAGTAACTGTTTTTTGGCGTATCGTATTACCTGGATGTCTAACCTTCATCGACATATTTAATGTTGTAGTTTAGAGGAAGAGGGCTTTGTATGAGCATTCCATGCTTCTCCCCTCCTCCTGCAAATGTTTTTGTCCTTGTTTTGTATTATTACTGTCTGTTTTGTTTAATGTGCAAACTAATAGAATCAACCAATCAATCAAAAAAATTAAAATCTGGCAACAATACAGATCAGCATTACAAAAAATGCCTGCATCTTGGCTATACGGCCCGGACCCGTGAAATGTATCGTACCTATAAACGTGAAATTCTACTATACTGCATGCACTACATGCATATCCGAACCCATTAACGTAGCTCATTCCAAAAACAACTTGCCGGGTCTGGTGAATATCATGCATTGTTTCAAACTGGAGGCAACAGGCATTCTCGACCGTGAGCCACGATGGTACGGACGCGGTGTCAAGGAGGCCATCTACGAACGGATTTACAGCCCAACCTTACACCGGAAAGGAGGATTGTGTGTAGAGTTCCATATGATTACTTGTGACCCCGCTCTGCCACAAAAGGACAGTAGCAGTTTACTATTATGGTTGTATTAACCATAGGAACTACCCTATGTATTTTACATTTCAATGATCTTATGGACCTTTGTCATGTTCAACCGGTTTTTCCAGTAACTGTTGCTCATCTATCATATATGCTTTATCGAGTTCTGTTAGTTTATTAGTGACGCTGAAGAAGAGTGGTGGATGTCCGGATAATATCTCCGTGATTTATGCAGTAGTAGAGTTTGAATTTCCTATGCGTACTAGATTGTGATGTATGTTAAACTATTTAATTAAAGTATTACAAACATTATTAACAACTTAGTTAGAGTCTATGTTGTTACAATACGTATAATTCACACCGGAACGTTGCCTACATACACTAGCTCAACGAATTAGCCTCGAATTAGCCTCGGTACCATCCTGGTTAGTTTACGTCCGCTCCCACAGTTGCAACCACCAACCACCTGATAGAAGTGACTATGGGAGCGGACGTGAACTAACAAAGATGGTTCCCAGGCATCAAAGAATTACATCTTATCACCAAACTTCAGTCAAGAGATGTAAAAAATGCCGCAGAAGGTCAAAACGACAAAACGGTCTTCATAACTGCAAAGTTTACCACGGCGTGCAATATTCAGATACATATTTCTCTTGTGTCGAAAAATGTAAATAAAGAGAGAGAGAGAGAGACACAGAGAGAGAGAGAGGGGGGGGGAAGAGAGAGAGAGAAAGATAGAAACCTATGACTGTGTCACTCAAAACAATACTGCCGTGAACTTAATTCACTACGTTATGATTCGACATTTAAGATGCAAAAGATGTAAATTCTAAATTAGATCAAAAGTTACATGAATTATACATGTTCCAAAATGTTTCCAGATACACCGGAGTGTTAATTTGGCAACCCCACAGTTGACTCGACCAGCTTCCTGCAATCCAATAGATTTGGTGTCTCGCCAGTGTACGCGTCATGCCCGCAGCTCTTCTTATGTCCGACAGTCCAGTGTTGTTTCTGACAGTCTCGGCTGCAGTACCGGGTCAACTTACACTGGGCACACAGCTTCAGGGTGGATCTGTTAAAATTGTAACAGTTACACGAGCCGTGAGTACTAAGGATGGTGGCAAAATCCCGAAAAGTTGTTCGACCGCTCTTGTTGGTTAAAAAGACCGAAAATTCAAATGGATCACTAAACACTAAACACAAGCAATGGTTGAAAGCACGCTCAAGTTTTTCCAACTTATTTCTGACATCATATTCAACAAAATATGATTTGCACATAAGAAGTGCATGGAAACGGTATTAGCAAACCCTACCTGTAGCCTGGTTTGCCACACATAGGGTTACAGCATCTCAGCAGCCTGGTCTCCATTGCCTCCTGTATTAACTTTAGCATTTTCATACAGTCGCGGTCTCCGACTTCTCCCACTATGCCAAAGAAACAGTACCTAGTGGAATATGTGATACATTTAGTGAACTATATATTATATTTCAGTTTACCTTCGGACTTGCCTGGGTACCATCCGGATTTTCGCTACGCAATTTTTTCGAGCGTTGGGTAGCGAAAATCCGGGTGGTACCCAGGCTACCTTCGGGCATGGTCTGCCCTGTTCATTTTTACTCAAACTCATTCACATACATGTACTGTGAGTAATCGGTGACAGGAGTAGGGCAGACCATGAAATTGCAACATTATGTAACCCAACACCAGTCACCATTTTGACAGACTTAACAAATCATGTCATTGGCCAGGTCGAAAGAGTGTTTGAAACAGAAGAGGAGGAAGAAACTGAGTAAAAACAATATGTTTTCCTTCGTTGAACATAATAAGATTCCAGTCTTCCGAGAAGTTCGATTCTCAGTTTTGGGTTTTCGTTACCTTCAAGTTCACCCCATTTCCCGTCTCTGGCATTTTGACCTCATGCCATTCTGTCTAACTTCATCCCATCCACGTGCTATCAACCTCTCTAAAGTTTACCTCATTTACAGTTGTATGGCCTTTTCTAAAGTTGACCAATTTCCATGTGTCTGGCCTTTTGACCTGTCATTCTGTCAATTTTGGCTGCTGACGAGCAGACACACATACCAGCCCACAGCAAACCTACCCAAAACAATACTTACGCATCTGGTGGTTAAATACAGTCAATCGTTCAACATTCCCAGGGTCCCACCCTCTACAAAGCATTATTTAGTCACTGAGTGTGCTACCCTGGCTTAAGAAAACGAAAGAAAATAAGTTAGTACAATATTACTTAATTAGTGACTGTTTGTGAAAGGTAGAAACACCTACCTCTAAATTTTCGATGTCAACTGTACATCTTGATCACGGCTTGACCTAGTCTCGCGAGAACACGAGACTAGGTCGAGACGTGTGGGAATCCTCAGGCCTCCCCTGCCTCCTTGCGGAGTAGGGGTAAAAAGGACTCAGGCAGATCCAAACCTTTATTGCGATTCATCCCGGCATGTTCTAACTGGGTGTGGACTGCTTCCCTGCTCTTTCCATGAGCCTTAGAAGATTCGCAGAAGTCTCGAACTAGTCTCGTGTTCTCGCGAGACTAGGTCACCCCGTGATCAAGATGTACAGTCGACATCGAAAATTTGGGGGTTTCTATCTGTCAAAAACAGTCACTGATTGAGGAATATTCTACTAACTGTTTATCAGTGACTGATGAACCGCCTTAACGAAAATAGATTATATATAAGGAAATGAACGTTCTTAACACTTGCCCCTTTGCAGTGAAGCCATGGTAGTCGGTCAAATCAACCCTTGCTCCGAGATCAATCAGTCGTCGAACTGTGCCGACCCGTTTGTACATACAGGCAGCCATGAGTGGCGTAGTCTGGTGACCGTCCCGTATGTCTAATGTTGCACCGTGATGTACCAGCAAGTCCACCACTTCTGTATGCCCTGGGTTGGATCATGCAATTTAAACACAAATAATCTGGTAGTAAATGCCAACATCTGTATTTAGTTTTTGTATGCTTTACCATATTACTTCGTGCTCACCAAACCCAACGACTTCTTAGCTTTTTTTTTACCCTCCATGAAAATTGTGGGTATTGTTTTCAGCCTGGATGATGTTTTGGTGTATATCTCATGATCCGTCAGACAGAATAGGAATTTAGTTCTTCCCAGTGTAATAATCTCAAGAACCGCTGGGTGCACTGCGATTATCTTTGGTACGCGGGTAGTCACTGTTCATTTTAGTAGGTGGTGGAGTCTGTGTTGTGTTAACTTTATATTTGTGCAGCCTGCAAGTAATATATTTTAACGTAGCAACGTGTTGTATATATAGTATCACGTGGAAACGCCAGACCGCAGTACACTGATTGGGTTATTAGCAAGAAATTGGGTCCGATGTCCGATCGCATGTCTTGCCAGGACACCCCCAAACAATACTTTCCTTACCCGGTTTTTCCGTCAAAACAACAAAAAAGTGCCATAGCAAAATCATTCAAGACATCTATCATTGTGGAGACAGAAACTTACTCAAAATATCCCTATATACATGAGTGACAAAAACACACCAAAAGATAGCAAAACAACAAACTATTTCGTAGAGGGATGATGTCTATACATTGTACCCATGACAATCGTTGTGCAATAAACTTTGACTTGTCTACGACTTCTTCTTGCTTGTACATGTACTACCCTTAGCACATTTGTACCTAAGTTTTAAATCGAAGGCCTACCTTCTCTCGCTGCTCCATGAAGGGGAGCAGACGATGCAACAGCGTCTCTCTTTGTTAAAGACGCCCCCTTGCGAAGCAGCAGTTTCACCACATCTACATGGCCCAGGAAGGAAGCGATGAGCAGTGCCGTATTCCTACCCTCTATAAGGCTGCCTGGCTGGACGTAGTCAATGTCTGCACCTGCGTTTGGCGATTATAAAAAAAATACTAGGAAACTTGTCGTGTATGCAAGTTTAGACTATTTCTCTAATTGATGTTTTCTCAGACTATTTCTTTTATATGAAACCACCAACAAATCAATGCCACTTGTTATCGGCAAATTTGTTGCTACAAAAGGATTGTGTTTTTTCTGCATTTTCAATGTGACGTTTGTGATAACTAATCCTGAGTTTTCGGACAGTTTTTTTTGTCGACAGTTCGCTTATTGTAATGCGAGATTAACTAGAACAAAAGACATAGTGACCCCCAGCAGGCATGCTAGACACCCCTTTTCAGTATATGTAAATTGTCTGCACAGCACATGTAATCATTACTATGGTGGTGACTAGGTACTATCAGAAGCAAAATAAACGTAAATGTATATTTTGTTTGGTCATGTTATCGTTGTATTCAGCTTTTTCACAACAATTGTTATAAATTTAGAACCCAATTTCTACAACTTTGTTCGACATCTGGTTGTATAAATCTGGTGCGTATTTAGACTCACCCCCATGTTGCTTGAAAAATACTGTAGTAGAAAGTGACCAAAATATGTTCTGAACGTCAGTAAAGTTTAGCCCGTAATTAAGAGGGTACAATACATATATATGTAACATACAGGGCCTACAACTAGCGGTTAGCAAATATATACGCTCACCAGCTTCCAAAGCCGCTTTTACGCCTCGAAGTGAGCCGTTCTCAGCAGCAGTCAACAGAGCTTCATTCGCCGTTTCCGCCATTTTGTCCGGATCGATGTTGTTGTGGACACCTTGCGCCGCTGCTGTCTGAAGATGAACTGAAGACTCAAAAGCCTCAGTCATGGGGCCCCGGGCAGCAGTTCTCTTGTTACATGACTTGTTGTATTCAACACGTCCCATAATCCTTTGCTGACCCCTGACATTCAATCCCTAAATCTCTGAGTTCAAGAAAATACTTAGTACTAGTAATCTCCAAGCGGATTATACGGCAAACGGACACTCCTCTGGCCAATAGATACTGTTTGCCACAGTATGATGCTTGGAGATTAGTTTCTTGAACTTAAATATTAATGTTTTGGGATTGAAGGTCAGGGGTCAACAAAGGATTGTGGGAACGTCACGTGATAAGACAACTACTGAGGCGTTTGAGTCTTTAGTTCGAATTCAGACAGCATTCGCGCAAGGTGTTTACAAGTTATCACAGTATTCCTGACGAAATGGCGGAAAAGGCAAGTAAAGCTCTAGTTCAAGCTGCTGAGATCGGCTCACTTCAAGGAGTTAAAGCTGCTTTGGAAGCTGGTGAGCATGTACATGTATTTGGTTTACCTCTAGAATACAATTTGCTGTATGCTACACTGTATGCATGAAGACTATCTGAAGCCTAACGCATACTATTCAGTCTTTTAGGCCAATTTGTACAATTTTCAAATTTCGTGCCATACAACTACATGTAGGTGCCGAGCCAAGTAAACGTAGATCGAGTGATATGCCCGAGAAGAGTTAGGCGTCCATTTTCTAACAACGGTCGTCTGAACTCCCCTGCATCGGACATATTACACGGTCTACTTGTTCAATGTTGACTATTTTCCAGCAAACTTTTGGAGTCTGGTAGCTGAAGGGGCGACCCTCAAGATTAATAAAAAAAATAAAAAATGAAGGCACTAGCATGGACGGCTTAGTTCTGCATAGATTAAAAAAAAACAACTTCTGTTGCTGCTTTTTTTTAGAAGGGGGGGGGATCAAAAACTCTAATTGAAATTCTCAAACACAGCGACCACCGAAAATGTTCATAGTACGCGTTTGTTTATAAGTATTTGCAGAAATGTATATACACATAAGTGCAGTTATATTTAAAAGTCCTGTTTAGAAGGAAAATACAACGGACATGTTTTCTTAGGATTGAGTTTGTTAGCACCTGTAGATATATAACTATTCAAATGTAAATAAAACAGACAAGGATTTGCATAGATGCGAAGCACAGTGCACTTGCAACACCTTTTGATCTTTTCCGGTACTTACATACAAGCTCGAACGGAAAAGAATAGGCTAGCACGACTGCAGTGGGCCACTTTGTCTTTTGTTTAAGTAATCTACGCATCACAATCAAGTGACAACATTTCACAGCAAGCCCCTTTGTTTCTATGTCATCGCTATAAAGATGACATGTCTTACTTGGTATAGAATGAAGTTAAGATTATTGTCAGAAGGCTACTAAAATTCTCAGAGCCCAAAATACTGATGATTTGTTGAGAAGTTGTGGGGCCGACTTGTCCTGGGGTTGGTGCCGAGTTGTCCCGAACGACCAGGGGCCGAGTTGTCCCAGGTGCCGAGTTATCCTGCCATGGTAGTCTTCAACTCCAAGTTTTGCAATGTGCATCCCTCACAACTTTTATGTGTAAACTCAAATGTCCGAGTTTAAATTCCAAACGCAACATGCCATTAAGGTACCAGTCAAACTCTTCATATTAACTACCAAGCAGTCCTGAATTAGGACGGCAGGTGTCACAGCGATCTGCCCCCCCCCCCACGGGACGCGAGTAATACTAGTACATGTACTATATAATGACCCCACCCTGCAGATATAAATTCGATAACAGAAACTGCCAAAGACAATTCAACTGTGAGAAATTTATTTCAATTTAAAAATACAGTTACAAATATAATCTTGAATTGATGATACTACAAGGGCATTATATGTCTCGATAAAGCTTTGACAGGGCAGGGTTGTATTGAGAGTTGAAAGGCTGATTTTTCAGACTAATGTTTGCAGATAGAAATTTTCTTGATTATGTAGCTTTGTAACATGTATCTCAGTGATTCTGTAGGTTTCGATAATGTTACATTGAAAACCAGCATAGAATAGAAAATATTTTAATCATTACCTTTTGAAAACTGAATTGGCCAGTATGCAAATCCGTTCTTGCCTTTCTTCTACGGGCTAGACAGACCATTTGAACTACTGGAAAGGTTACAATGGGAGCACTGTACTCCCTAATGGTTCTTGCCCAGGGCAAGAAACTGGTGGGTTCGCGCTAGTCTCCGCCGACCTCCTTTGTCAGGTTGAATGAATCTATAAACTCTAAGTCGTAAAGATTAACATCATTTGGCAAAGGTACGGAGACGCGAAACCCTAGTTAAAACTGTAATCACAAACGCAGGTGCAGACATTGACCACGTCCAGGAAGTCAACAACATCACCGGCACTGCACTGTTCATCGCTTCCCACCGGGGATATGTAGACATATTAAAGCTGCTGCTCTGCAAGGGGGCGTCTGTAACGAAGAGAGGCGAGGGTGCAGTGGCAGCCGCCCCCCTCCATGTAGCAGCGCTCCGAGGTAGGTCGTCGATGATTTGTAAAATACACTCAAGGTTCTACCAGAATTTCACAGAGTATATAGTCGGCATAACATGTATGTCTACTAAGTTTTCGCGCAGTTTTTCTGTTTGCATTGATTTTCTTTAGCAAAATACGGGCACCTATCGCCATGCATTTGTTCTCAAAGACATGTCAAGCAACCAAATATGATACATAATGACATATAACAAAAAAAGCTAAACGTTTAAGTTCTGCCATTAAGAAGTATACCACACAGAAGTTATGTAAACGTGCTGAGTGTAGTGACACGCTACAATGTGGCTTTGACGTGCACAGTGGACACACCATGACGGCAGTCATAGGGTGCTACATGTATATGGGACACAAAGAACGACTATCTTTACTCTCTCTATATCAACAAATTATGTGGACAGGGAGTAATAGCTCACTCAAAAAACAGTTCAAGAATGATATTTTGTAGTGGTTGGATTTTTATGACTGGCTGAGTTTACGAAAACATCGAATCCTCGGCAAGTTCGTGCGTCGCCCGTCACTGATCGGAGTGCCGATCGCGGGACTCGTTCAGCCATCCATTCTACAAATAAAGGGACGCTTTACATAGCCCCACACAGATGAACCTAATGCTAACATAATGACATACTATTGTTCACAATATAGATGAGTTCTAGTGACTCTGTGTATTGACAGTTAAGATAGAGGACCCTAGTCACTCTTATAACGAGTCTTTATGAAGACTTTATGAAATCACTAACGTCGCAATTTCAGGACATACAGAAGTGGTGGACTTGCTGGTACATCATGGTGCAACATTAGACATAAGGGAAGCCTACCAGAAGACACCACTCATGATCGCCGGTAGTTGGGGTCAAGTTGACACAGTTCGGCAACTGATTCAGCTCGGAGCAAGAGTTGATTTGACAGACTTTCGTGGCCACACGGCTCTGATGTAAGTGTCCCGTCACTCGAGAATAGAATTAACAACATAATATTGCATTAATTAAAATAAAAATGAAGTTATAAATAAAAAAAAAAGTCTCGCTATGTTATGCTAGTTCATACATATATGACCTCATGCGCACACAAGTACAAGTTACATGTATTACAGGGAAAGTTGTGTTCACGCTTCTCATACTAGTTGAATGGCATAATAGCCCTGGGTTATGCCACGACGAAGCCTGGTTGGCCAATCTGCCTCTTGTTTTCCCGCCATGGGACCATCCGAGGTCCCCAAAGAGACGGGGTATGTCAATCCAACTAGTGCTTGCACCGAACTAATGGATCGAAAATGACTCAAAATCACAAAGTTTACAATTCAATTTAGGTGACAAAATGGACGAATTAAAATATTACGGATCTTGAAGAATAGATTTTGAAATCGATCGTATCCGATAGAAAAAAATATTGTTGTTAAAATATGCCTCAGACTTGGTTATTTGCAACCGCAATTGGTGCAAAAGTATTGTTTTGGGTGACAGAGCTTTTGGTTAGTGTATATGTTTGTCCGGGAAAAGTAGATTAAAAAGTACGTGGACGGGGAGAATCGACAGGCAAGATGACAGGTCATAAGGCCAGGAAATGGAAATGGGTTGAAAATTGAGACCATAGGGGCCTGAGGTTTGAATAGGCAGAATGACGAAGATCAAAAAATCAGACATGGAGAATGGTATGAACTTGAAGGTCCCAAAAATATTTCCAGCAAGCGTATTCGATTGGAAGCGATCCGTTCCCTAAATGAGTAATATTTTCCACTAGGCACTGCGAGATGTCCCCCTTTGTCTTAGACCAAGAATTTGCAGAGATGATGGCGTTGCTACAAGAGGCAATGGAGACCAGGCTGTTGAGATGCTGTTATCCTCCGTGTGGCAAACCAGGCTACAGGTAAGTCTTGTTTCACAGGGTTATACGTACATGTACGAGTCGTCGAGTGTAGTGTTCTTGGCATGCCTGTGTTTAATTACTTGTGTGTCCGTCTGTAGGTATAATTGTATGCGGTAGAGTGTCAGAAAACGGAGATTCTGTAACCACGGACTACCGTGAATGTCTAATTTGAGAAAAAAATGGTTTACCCCGTGCAGGTTGAGAGAAACTGGTTAAAAAAACAGTTCAAAGGAAAGCAATAAACTTTTCATCAGTTTTTGGCTATGTTTTATGTCTGCTGGTTTTCAAATTTAAAATAAAACACGAAATTTGCAACTTGAGTTTGAAGGTATACTGCGCGAGGACGTGAAATCTTTTATAATTAATGCCAACCCCAATTTTTAGTTGGTTGAGTTCAATAGGTATGACGTCACGGTATTATATATATCACTATATATCTGTCGGCCATCTTTGTTCATTCGAGAAACATTACAATCAAAATTGTGCCCGGTTACGCCGCAATTTAAGTTGCTAAATGGGGTCGTCTTTTCGCGGTCTAAGTTGGTACAATATTCTGATTTATACCTAGTTCTGATAGCTTTTGTGATTCTTATCTCCTCTACAGGTCCACCTTGAAGCTGTGTGGCCGGTGCAAGCTGACCCGGTACTGCAGCCGTGACTGTCAGAAACAACACTGGACTGTCGGACACAAGAAGTGCTGTGGACATGACGCGTACACTGGCGAGACACCAGACCCCTTCCATGAAATGACCAAGTACAAGTTCACACTACCAGGGGGATTATCATCAGAGAGAATCCTACAACACTTATTTCCAGAAAAATTCCCGCAGGTTCGTGAAGTTGTAGGTCCCAAAAACCAGTGAACCATGCATGCAGTAGTAAGAAAGCTCCGATTTCTTGTTCCATCTGACTTGGTAGATCTTGGTACTACTACTGGACAGACGATGTAAGAGTAGTGTAAGCCGATAAAAAGGAACAAGCAACGAGTTACCATGGCATTTTGATATTCCATACCAACGTGAAAAAATGATATTGTGTCAGGATCTTTGGTTTAAGTTTTCCTACACTTTTCTGTCGAAAGGGTTATACAAATACGTAACTTTATATTTGTTCCTCTTTTGAAAGGTATGTAAACAAGTGTCTAAATGGGGATTTGGATTTTATCATGATATCTTTTAAGGTGACCACATTTTGTTTCCAATCAGGACTAATGCTGATTAGACTGTCACTGAATAATGAAATGTTATAACGTTTTATAGGTTCCTGTCCGAGGAGTTCGCATTCTTGTACCAGTTGGTTAAATTTATTGACGCTGTCTTTCTGTCAACTACTTATTATCCCATATCCGTTTTTGTTTGACAGATCGGATTCTGTATTTTTGTCTAAACTTGTATTCGCGTGCCCGCGAAGTTGGTGTGTTACGCCGAAGGGCGGTTATACCGGCTATACTGATACAGATACAGAAGCTGGTGTGTTACGCCGAAGGGCGGTTGTACTGGCTATACAGATACAGAAGCTGGTGTGTTACGCCGAAGGGCGGTTATACCGGCTATACTATACAGATACAGAAGCTGGTGTGTTACGCCGAAGGGCGGTTGTACTGGCTATACAGATACAGAAGCTGGTGTGTTACGCCGAAGGGCGGTTATACCGGCTATACTATACAGATACAGAAGCTGGTGTGTTACGCCGACGGGCAGTTATACCGGCTATACCGATACAGTTTTCGCTCAATGAGTACTTGTAATTAATAAAAATGATGGTGTATTCTCTACAACGGTATCAAATGTATTTGGAAGGTAAGTTATCAAAGCTAGTAAGGTGCATGCTGGTATCAACCATAGCGCTGTCGATAAATACTAGGAGGTAATAATATTCAACCCTTACGGATTACTAAATAAAAACAAATGGAATACTACTAAACATAAGGCCAACACCAAGTAATTTCTTTTTTATGGATGACTACCGCGCGCATTGGAGAGGGGTCTGAACTAAATAATTAGCTTCATGGACATGTTGTCTTCATGGAGCTCGCTCCATGGAGGTAGAACATCTCAGCCGCAGGTATGCGCTAATTACCTCCATGGAGGTAGCTCCATGGCGGTAATTAGTGCAGATCCTATTGGCGCATTGAGTTTGGCCTTTCCCCAGAAAAGAAGCAACAACAAGAAATTCCGTTTGGTGTGAATATGTTGAAATTGTCACGCGAGTGAGATAATTAAGGAAAGATGTGATAAAAGGAAAGAAACGGGACAGGGCGACAATTGCATGCTGTGTATTGCTGCTTTCATGACGATTAAAATGATTGTTGGTTGGATGTACATACTATTAGTGTTCTCTCATTCAATTTGTGTGCTAACATGTGTCGTCCCTAAGTTTATTTCAAATCTAGGATTCTAGCTTTTTTCGTCACTTCTTGTTTTCTTTGCGGTCTCGCATTAGCTTACTTAAAACGTTTCTTCAGAGGTCGTCAATTATTGGCGTGGCCTAAAATGTACATACCACGCCGTCAAATGTAAAACCTGGGCGCAAAAACACGGTTTTAAAACCGGCCACACAATGACACAAATGGCGACTGAGAAAGTTTGTCGAATTCATTAGTTAAAGAAAAGAGGTTTGGCGGTTTGTTGCCATGTTGCATACTACTAGCGTATACGTAGTCAGAAAACCGACATGACCGACTTGTATTAAAAGCTTCAAGCCTCTCTCTCTGGCTCTTTTCATCCTGTCGGACGGTCTATTGTCTTTCCTTCCGTTTTCGTCTCGCGTTGGCAGCTTTTTCTTCCCTCGAAGCTTTGTAGGTGGCCATCCCACTTGTAACTGCTGCCCTCCATCTATTCCTGTCCACTGCTAGTTGTTCCCATGTTTTCTCCTGGATGGAGACCAAGCCTCAAGGTATGGAATAATAACAGATTTACATTGCTTTTTGTTGTTATACTTCAACATAGGATTTTCATGTGTAAATTTGATCAAGAAGTCATCATTATCATATAGAAATAGAAATACAAGTACGTGAGCAACAACTTACTTGAACCAACAATGCCTAAACCAAGCACATTACATGTAGATCTATTCGATAATGCTCTTGCCTAAACTTACGTTGTTATTCTACTCATCAACGCCTCCCCCCCCCCTTCAACATCCACATCCTACACACCATGGTCAAAACGTAGAAATGCAGCCTTTCTCTCATTGGTCGAATCGAAATTTGCCATGCTATGGCCGAACTGCTAACTGTGATTGGCAGTCGGGATGGGTCTCCAAGGCAACATCTCACGTGACAAAACATTTTTTTTTCACATGCGTCCTCAGTCCAAACGAAGTTTAGGCAGTACTCGAGCGAGCTGTGTCAACAACGCTGGTTCTAAACGAATCTATCACGATGGAATCGGCTTGATGGATGAAGCTCAGCTGGGGGCCCCCAAGCCCTTTTCCGTAGAGCGTAATCGGCCGTTTTAATTCTACGTAGAGCGTAGACGGACCCTCTAATTCAACGTAGAGCGTAATTGGCGCATTTAGCGTAGAGCGTAATTCGCCGTTTTAATTCTACGTAATGCGTTGTAGCTATCGGGAATTAACCGTAAAGCGTAATCGATTAATTGTGCGTAGAGCGTAATCCAAGCCGCAAACGGGAACTCGAGGCCTCGCAAGTTCCGGGTTGTCGCGGCGCTCGAGGTTTTTCTTGCTCTACCCCCTTCTATACAATCGAACAATCCACTAGACTTGTTCCCAGAGCCATACGCAAGAGCAAGGCAACACATGGGAATGATCCCACAGTGCGCTGGGTACGAGATTGACCTTACCATCGGTTACGTACACTAGGACCATTGGCCAAACGCCACAGATGGCCACAGATGAAGAGGGTAGAAGGCCTTAGAACCACATGACTTGTAAGGCCCAATAGGGGCCCTCAAGACGTTTCTTAGCGGGAACATCATTGCTGATCAACGGCCAGGGTAATGGAGGACACTCCCGAAAAGAGCAATGTCATCCCCGTCATTGTGCGGGTGATGGGTAACCGTCAGCAATCGGCAGCTGAGTCGTTTTGACAAATTACGTTTTCGGCCTTTTCTACCTTCGGACGACAACCCCACAAGGCTCAAAGGTCCACTTTTTGGTCCACTTAGTCTTTTTATCTAACGGTTAAAGGTCCAAAACTTTTCTTTAAAAGACGGACTGATTCGTGTCACCAGCAAGGCTGGAATCCGTCGTAGGAAAACTGCTCACTTTGTCATTGAAAAAGTTACCTCTAATTTTTTCTTTGAAACCCTCTAAAAACGCAGGAAATGCCATTTCAGAAGGTTCATTTTTCAAAATTTTCCGGGGGAGCATGCCCCCGGACCCCCCTAGGAACCTCGCGCCTTCGGCGCTCGCCTCGCGCCTACGGCGCTCGTTAGTCACCCCCCCCCCTCAAAATCCTGGTTACGGCCATGTTACCTCCATTCACGGATCGCCCTCCGATCTTCGGACGATCGAATTTCAATGTATAAGGAAGTGACCACCGGTTACTACTTTTAATTCAAGTTATGTCAGCTCTACATATGATAAATCAAAAGGTTTTGACGCAAACATGCAGTTGCTAGGTGATTGAGTTCTGCATAGTGCGTTCAGAATCTTTCGAATTTAGCGTAGAGCGTAGAGAGGCGTCCGGAATTCAGCGTAATACGTAGCCGGCTCTCAAAATTTAGCGTAGAGCGTTGTCGGGACCCCCCCTTGGAGGCCCCCTCAGCTGTATGCCACTGAGAATGGTTCACTTCAAGGAGTTAAAGTGGCGTTGAAAGCGGACGGGCACCTAGTTAATTATTTGTTGTAGGAATTTTGGCTCTAATTGCTGGTGCCGTGTGTTAAATTTCGTGATGTAAACAAGCTCAATTCGGGTAAATTAAATTTCTAACACCTGATCCACGTGAAACACATTCCGTTCAAACCGTACCCGATTACGACTCGCTTAATCTACATCCATTGTTGTTTGATGAAAACACGCAGGTAGCGTGTTATGAATTTCATAGGTAATTGACCTGCTTGTATCTTTCCCCCTCCCAGCGTACCTCTGCCGAATATGTACCGACGTGGTCTCGCTAAAGGTGATGAAACTTTTCGGTCATTACTGCCCTTTAAGTTGCTGCCACGTAAATTTATGAATTGCATTTAGACAAAGAAATGCCACCCTTAATCCATTATCGGGTCAATATGTAAAGTAAACACACTGGAATAACATTGCGTTCAGACATAAATCACAATCCGGTGAAACCGGTTCGAAACTACCTACCGAAGTGGTTTGAGATCGAGGCGCTTTCAATGCGATTTGGAGCCTTCAGATGGTTACTTGAAACCGGCTTCACTGGGAACTGGATCGAAACCGCTTAGAGCGACTTGGGGTGAATGGGGAAATAGTCGTGTGTACGATTTCAGATGACACCAACTCGATTTCATACATGTACGTTTCAATGCTTCAAGTTGTGTGCAAGCAATGAGCTTCGTTGACAAAATGGCTGTGGTTCCGGTTCTTAGCTAGGGGGCACTGCAGGTACACGGTGAAGGCATTGCGTTTTTGGAAAAGACGCGAGTTGAGAAATGGTCTGCATTTGATGGCAAAGGTTTGTTTTCTAAACATGTCAAACTGCTCATTAGTCATATCCATTAGTTGCTGTATCACAAAACCCTTATATTAGTTAATAGGCCATTACTAGACTTATGTCAGATTTATGACAGCAAATTAGGAAATATTTCTAGACCAGTCGTAGATTATCATTGGTGGTTTGTTTTGTCATAGCTTCACTGAAAATCATATGATAAGAAAAATGCTGTACCATAAAATTCAATGCAATCATTAGATGTGTATTGTAAAAGTAGTACATAGTGGTACCATAATCACGTACTATAAAAGGTACAGAATTGGTAAGAATAAAATGCAATTGATATAGATGTATATATAGCTGATATAATTAGCCCAGGTTTATACATTATTTCTAAACATCATAAATGCAATTTTATTCACCTACTGACATCCTCCTTGGGACTGTAAATGAATTCTTAAACACCAGGTGAGAAGAAGGAGGGTGGACCACCTGAGGAGGATATGGGCGATGACGTGTCCCAAGACATAGGGATAGGCAGCACATGTAACCTGTCTTTTGAAGAAGCACCTGATACAAACATACTGTGTGTGTGTGGGGGGGGGGATAGATATGGGGAAGGCTGTTTCTAAACAGTCGAATGGTAAAACCTGCCTCATAGAGAAGGCAAGTCTTGAACCTTAGTTTATTTGTATCGTCTACACACGGCCTGCGTAAATGGATCGTCTTGGCAGGCAAGGTAAAATTGCCATGTATACATGAATGTATATCTATAGATAGAGATGCGCTGGATGTTGAATCTCTCAGAACGAGAGAAAAGAGAACTTTTCCCCATTATTATAACATTTTAGATGCCAAGTAAATTACATGCACATGTAACATGTAGTTTACCTTTGAGGCTGCAGAGGGCTCTTTTAGTTTGTAACTGCCAGCTGTCATTTTTCTTCATTGATAATATAACTATAGAAAAACGATTTTTCCGATGAATGACACGTTACTGTCATGTTACATTTTATTGTGTTTTATGTGTGTTTCGATATTTATCAGTTTGAAACCATCATTGTTGAATGAGAAAGACGGAAATAGAAACGTTTAGTACCATCCATCTGAGATGCAAGACCAACCCTACTCGTACTATCAAAACAATTTTAAAGCTTTCTTGACATATCATTTTCACACACCAACACACACACGCACGAACGCACGCACGCACATGCATGCAAGTCCATAAACACACACAAAAACACATACACGCGAATGCTACCAAAAAAATAACGTTGTTGGCGAAGATAAAAAAAGCCGAAATTTGCTTACAGTTCGACAAGTCGGTTGATAATGTACACACACAGGCACACACCGTTTAAAGTTAACTTGTGAATTCAGTATTCAGTCGCTACAGCGTTAAAATCAAACAGCAATATAGAGTTGACAGGTAGCACGTGGTGTTTTTAATGTACAGGATATGAATGATTTGGTAAATAGTAACATCATGACAGGGCTTTGTCTTTCCAATAGGGTAGATACACCTCCTGTATACCTTTTTATATCTCAGCGTTCCCAAATGGTTAGCTTGGTACCACTGTTTGCCAAGTGCTTCTTGCCTGCAAATACATATCTCAGCACCTTACATCTAGATTGGCTAATATCGTAAACTATAAGTAGAAATAATGTGAGAAATAACGTTGCAGCCATAGAGAGCCCTTTGGTGATTAATCCAATTCTGCAGAATTCTAGCTCCAGTTCCAGAATTCTGCAGAATTAGGTTAACCCTCAAGGCATCATTGATGGCTGCTTCTTATTACGTATATCATTGTTACCTATAGTTTATGATATCTAATTACATACCTCATCTAGACGTAAGGTTGCTGAGGTATGTAATTAGTCCAGAATCAAACTGAAAGTCTAGAATTAAAACTGTAGAATGTTGCACTGGAAAGTTTGTTTATAATACCTCCTAGATTTATTAAAGTGTTCAACCACTTCTTGACGAAAGATGTGGAATTTATAACCTGTGTCGTATTAATCCATGTCTCCTCCATATTTCCTTTCATTGCCGCCGACTTGATACACTGTATAACGTTACATGGGTAGACCATGGTTACCGCAATTGATTACATTGTAAAATAATAATAATTCGTATCCTGATAAGTTCTAATCAGTAATAATACAAATAATGACCAGTGTTATTTCATCTTCCCTATGCCTTTTCATTGGTTTTGACTTTATGGAGCATATTTCCCTACTATTAATAATTTATATTGTAAACAACTTGATCAGAATTCAGCCCTGTGCGTCAAGGTTTCGAGATATGTTGTTGATATGCTGATACAAACAAATAAACCAACTAGACTTCCCCGATCTCATACCTTTGCCAAATGATGTTCATCTTTATGGCTGACAAATTATAGATTATTCCCCTTGATTGCGCAAATAGGATTTTCAGGAATTATATCAGTTTATCATATTCTCAACCAAAGGACAGTCTTATATGAACAAACAATGTCATTCTAGCATTTCCTCATAAATTATGCAAATGAGGTCCTGATTTGAATACATTATGTTTAATGATGTTCACCTTCATTGAACGTTCAAATACCATAAGTATGAAATTCCAGGCAATTATAATTACAGAATTATAACATTTTCTCATTAATTATGCAAATTAAGTCCTCATTTACATAACCATTATCTGCCTGTCTTTATCTCATTCTCAATTACAAATGTCACAAGCTTCAATAGTCCTATGATGGAATGCAGCTGATTTAAAGAATTTCCTCATAAATTATGCAAATCACATCTATATTTTCATAATTGTGACATAATTATATTAAGCATCAAGTTAGCTATCTGCATACCAAAATCACGACGATCCGTCAACCGGTTCTTGAGTTATCCTCTTTTTAATAATTTCAAACAGATAGCCCTGCAGTTCCAGAGCAAGCGGCTAGGGAGCCCAAACTCACGTCACGTCTTTCCCAGCACAAGAGCTACCCACCATCCAAATTTCGTTACCCTAGCATGTCTAGATCATGAGATATCAAAACCGGAAGTTCAGCTGCAGTACCATAACAAGCCGCTAGAGGGTCCAAAATCTAATCATTTCCAAGTCTCATCAACACCTAACCACCTACCAAGTATCAAGAAAATCCATTTAAGTCTTATCAAGTTATCGTGTCCCGTGAAGGACGAAAGGAAGGACAAACATACACGAACGCCTCTGTAAACATAACCTTCTTGGCGAAGGTAATAACCTTGACAATGTTATGTATATTTGGCGCTTTGCAAACTAAAAGCTTACTTGTGCAGACTATCTTTGATATAGTCTATCAAAGACTTTTGGCAGAAAGCCTACATACCAGAAAACATGCCTAATCTAGAAAACAGGCATGTTAAACCCGTTGAAAGTGCAGAATGACTGGTCTCTCTGCTGGTCACTATAAAAGTATATGTACGACACGATTGTCGGGAAAGTTGTTACAGTCATTTTGAGCCGTCAATGAGGTGTGTTGGACTCTCCATGCTTTCAGGATTAAACGATTTTTGCAGATATATCATGTTGCCCGAACGTAGGGAGTGTAATATTCATCATGACTATCGTAAAGAACCATTACAATATTCAAGGAAACCCACAAATACGACAGTAGCTATAGCTTCGCTACATGCTTCATCTCCATAACAACATGATTAGCGTGCATGCGTGATTATTTTTTTTCTGTTAGGAGGTACTCACGTAAAAAGGGCCTGAACAACCGGGTTTTACCGTAAATGACCGCGGGTGACCCCAAGTCGAACGCCGTTCGGTTCAAATTGCGTCATATCGAAAACGATTCGGATTCTATAGCAGACTATTATATCATCATGACATGACGGCTTACACTGGAACAGTAACTTCTTAATAGATGATTATACAATTACCCCAGACCGGGTAGTGATGCTTGCTTATGGTCTCATTTCGGTATTCTTCCGCGTGGGTACTCTCAAGTAGATCGTACTAAAAATTAAATGCGTGTATGGATGTGTGTTTATATCCGCCAGAAATTGCATTTTAGCTACGTCAGTTGGCGTAAACCGCTTGTGATATGAGAGGTTGTTTGTATGTGCTAAAATTAGTGGGTAAGTGTTGACATCCGCGCGACAGGTCGGATGTTTACACGCTGTTGTGATGGGTAATGCGGTCAGGAGGTAGCAGCGCTGGAGGACCTCTGGCGGAGAGTGGCCAAGTGCAGTTTATAAATAAATAAAAAGAGATTGTTGGGTTAGATCTGGTTGCGAATTTTTTGACGTAATGTAGGGCCATTGTGCTCAAAATTGATTGGATAGACTAGATGGCTGTCATTCAAATTATTGGGTTTTGGCCTATGTAAAGTTACGTATTTTGCCATAGGCGGCCATAGTTAACAAAAACTCAAGAATGAGACCTTATGTAGTAATGCATGGCGTGATTGTGGAAATTCCATAAATCTGCTCTATTCAGTGATCGGAATATTTGAAGGTGTGATGGTTGAGTTGTACAAATTATGCAAATAATCATGCGGTATATCCCCGCAAGAGGCGGTATAAATCCCACCAATGATGATCAATGAAGAAATTACTGAATTCTGAAGTGTTTAAGGGGGTGGGTGTTATCGTAGACCAAGCGAAAATCTAGAGTCCCGTTTTCTACGCCAACCTACGCTATACATGATGTATGAATTTCACTTTGCCATCTTGAACTTAGGTTGAACTAAAAGCCATCGCTATCTTGGCACATGCTATCCCTTAAAAACAAAATAAACACACGCCTGCTGGAACTGTCACGGATTTCCGCTGGTGTATCGGGTTCAGCTGACAGCTTCATTTTCTCCAATGAAGGTTCCTTTCCCAAAAGGTCGCACACGTGTTTCCTGGGGACTGTGTGTTACTTAGTCAGCCTATTTCCTAAGTAGCCCAGATAAAAGGCAGGCTGTGTCACTGTTTACGTGTATTCTGAGTCAGGCAGAGAACTGCGCAACGGAGATTTAACAGGTATGTCTATGTAACATTTACTCACTTAACACCCTTTTACTGCTGTCTATAAGTCGTAGACGGCACGATTAGTAGCAGACCGCGATGTTAAAGAAGGCACAGTTAATACGTGTTTATTGCTTTCCCCCTAATTATATAATACCCCTTTTGAAATTACGTTTTGGTCGCCACTGATAGGTGTCTTGAGGTCTATCGTGGTTAGGGTGGGTTCTCCTGGGGGCTGCTAGATCTGTTCCCCGCCTGACTCAGCTAGGTTCCCGGTAGACTTTTCACGACGGGGGTTAAATTCGTGGTGGGGCTGGTCACCTCCTGGCATGCAAAACTCCGACAGGCGGAACACCCCTACCGGTCGGTCGGAGGTGAACGGGAAAAAACTATCAGGGCCCCGAAGACAGCCTGCCACAACCACGATAGATTGGATACCAGGCCATAGGCCTTGCGCTATGGGGAGGAACAGGAGAATTTTCTTTTGGATGGATCTCCAATACATTCGTTTGCTTGTCCTTTGTGGATTTTTGTTTGTGACGCTTGGTATGACTGTTATGTGAGGGTTCATTCTCTTTGTCCGTTTACTGGGTGTGTGTAGTTATTACTCCGCATTCTAAGTGTTGAAGAAGGAAGTTAAGTGTATCATGTGTAAAGTTTGGGGACCACTGTACGAGTATAAGTAGTTCTGTTTTTTTTTTCCCTCCGATGGATGTCTTTTCCACCTAACCCACAGATTCCAAGGTTTCTATCTAGAAGGACCCCTACACTCATAAAATTTTGACCAAATGTTGGTTTTCCTTTGCTACGTAATGTGTAGATCCACTGTGTCTATATGCCGCTGTCACAGTGCTGCCACATGGTACTCATTCTTGTCTCGCGAGTTTATAACCATAATTTGATATTATGTTTGCTTTGGTAAACTTAGTTGGCAGGTGAGGTCGACACGTACCTAGTTTCGCATGTGTGTTGTTAAACTAGAACTTAGTTCTATATTGTGCTTTACTGCCAAATACTACAACATCCATTTCTCACTGAAAGATTTTGGAAAAACAAAATTTTGAAACATTGTTCAAAGGTTTTGATTTGGTGAGAATTTTACATACAGCCACCATTACATATAAAAGGAATGAAATACACCACTGCATCATTTGAAGTAAAAGACTTAACATTAAATCAAAGCCTTGTCTTGTCTCCTCTCTTTATAGATATCTGCCATCCACGTTTCAGCATGGCAACCGACATCTTTGCCCATTTTTTTAAAATCTTGACCACTTTCAAAGTGCAACAATTTTTTTTTTCAAAATTAGGCGAAAAACAACGCGTGCGCTGATGTTATCCATAAAACCTACTTGCTGTGGCCTAAGGCTTGAGCTATCATGAGGGAGGGTTTTTGGAGATAGCAGGCCAATCTACCATATTCTGAGGTTCCAAATATTCAAGCTGACACCATTTACTAACTTCACCGAGATGATAATTATCGGGTTCGTATCTCCGTCTGTCATATTTGTCTGTTTGTTTGTTTGTTGGTAAAGCATATATGGTGGTCCAGAAGCATCTAGGCATTCACAACAATACGGCGCCATCATACATAACGTTATGCAGTTTATCCAAGGCTTGATGTCAGCAATAGACGTCCGCGGATCGGATAAAAGTAGTGCTTGGCGTAGCCTGGTGTCCAGTCTATCGCGGTAGGGGCGGGTTCTCCTCGGGGCTGCAAAAGATCTTTTTCATCTGACTGATTTAGAGACGAAAATTAAAGCTTGTAACATGGCTTTTTCTTGACCAAACGCTAGAATTATAAGGGAATAGATCGCTACTACCACTTACCTAAATTTGACAATGTTGCGTATATTTGAAGCTTTGCAAACTAAGAACTTGCTTGTGCAAGCAGGAATAGTCTATCAAAGACTTTTGGCAGAAAGCTTACATACCAGAAAACATGCCTAATCTGAAAAACAGGCATGTTAAACCCGTTGAGAGTACAGAGTGACTGGTCTCTTTGGTCACTGTGAAAATATGTGTACGTGGGTAAGGCCACAGTAAGCAAATTTAATGGATGGCACCCTTCGCAGACTACAACTCTAATGCGATAGGGCGACGAAAATCGGCGGGCAAAAAAAAAAGATTCCTACATTTCCAAATTTTGACATCATAAACCTGGTTAAACAAAAGCAGATAAATATATTGTGCTAAGTTTACCACGGCGGTCTGTCACTACGGCATTCTTTCCCATTGCCATGGGCGTTCGAAAAATTATCAGGTTACAGGACGCAATTTTTAGCTAACTGAGAACATTTCAAAATAAACAAAATAGTATCGTCCATTAAAACTACTTTCTGTGGCCTAAGGCTTGAGCTGCCATGGGGGAGGGCTTTAGAGATTGCACGTGAATCGTTACTAACTTTACCGACAAGATCATAACTTTCGGGTGCGTATCTCCGTCTGTCATATTTGTCTTTCGGTTTCTTTGAATAGCAAATTTGAGATAAATCTTAAAAATATGTTGTATGTGGAGAGGTTTAAAAGACCTAGAAATATAGAATTATTCAGATGTTTTAGACATATTGTGTCCTAGATGATATGCATGCTGCGGTCACTGATTTTAGGTGGTAAATAGCTGTTTTCCTCGGCACGGCATAAAAGCCTACACTGGAACAGTAACTTGTCTTTAGATGATTATACAATTACCCCAGACCGGGTAGTGATGTTTGATTTACTATGTAGGTAGCTTAAGTGAGGCATGGCGTGATTGTGGAAATTCCATAAATCTGCTCTATTCAGTGATCGGAATATTTGAAGTTATGATCGTTGAGTTATACAAATATTGCAAATTATCAATGCGGTATATCTCCGCAAGAGGCGGTATAAATCCGACTAATGATGATCAATGAAGAAATTACTTGATTAAGTGTTTAAGGGGGTGGGTGTTATCGTAGACCAAGCGAAAATCTAGAGTCCCGTTTTCTAATTTACGCCAACCTACGCTATACATGATGTATGACTTTCACTTTGCCATCTTGGACTTAGGTTGAACTAAAAGCCATTGGTACCTTGGCACATGCTATCCCTTAAAAACAAAATAAACACACGCCTGCTGGAACTGTCACGGATTTCCGCTGGTGTATCGGGTTCGGCTGACAGCTTCATTTCCTCCAATGAAGGTTCCTTTCCCAAAAGGTCGCACACGTGTTTCCTGGGGACTGTGTGTTACTTAGTCAGCCTATTTCCTAAGTAGCCCAGATAAAAGGCAGGCTGTGTTCTGAGTCAGGCAGATAACTGCGCAACGGGGTCTATAAGTCGTAGATGGCACGATTAGTAGCAGACCGCGATTTTAAAGAAGGCACAATTAATTACGTGTTTATTGCTTTCCCCTTAATTATATAATACCCCTTTTGAAATTACGTTTTGGTCGCCATTGAGGTCTATCGTGGTTAGGGCGGGTTCTCCTCGGGGCTGCTGGATTTGTTCCCCGCCTGACTCAGCTAGGTTAAATTCGTGGTGGGGCTGATCAACTCCTGGCATGCAAAACTCCGACAGGCGGAACACCCCTACCGGTCGGTCGGAGGTGAACGGGAAAAAAACTATCAGGGCCCCGAAGACAGCCTGCCACAACCACGATAGATTGGATACTAGGCCATAGGCCTTGCGCTATGGGGAGGAACAGGAGATTTTTTTGCAGATCTCCAATACATTTAGCCTGGGTGCCAAACCCATAGCACACTGGACACAAAGTATCTCAGTGAGCCTTGGTCTGGTAGGGTCAGATAGACCTGTTAGTCGAACGCTCAGTATCTGTCAGTGAGCGTAAAGCCCCGTTGGTGGGACAGCAGAAAGCAATTATACACCTCTGCTATGATTTATTAAAAACTCCCAGCTGTATCTTTGAATCTTCATCAGTAGATGAGATACTTGAAGGCATGACTATTTCTTGTCTAGCTAAAACTAGCTAGGTACTTAGTAGTTGGCACATCCACCAGTTTTTAGTCACCTTGTACATCATGCATAGTCGTGGATTTTTCGTCTGTCTTCCAGTAACGCCAACTGCAGGTTTAGAAATTCACCACACCACAACACCACACAACAGACAGTCAATAAGTGTTGGCCTGGTGACCTCTGCGTGACTCCAAATACAGTTACTATAGCTTGTAATATGTGGGATGCTGACAGAGGGCATTGCCCTCTAGGCCTACGGGGTCTGGCAGGCATTCCTTACATACCAATAGTCCAGCGGCTTTCCATCAATGTACCACCTTTTTTTCAAACCTCTTAAACACTCCGTACACACGAAAACATTATCCACATGCTTAACCCTTTCCTTTTTAATGCTACCCCCTTTCCTGTACTTCTATTAACCAGGCGATATCACCGGTCGGAACCCGCCTTTAACATTTATCGTTTTATACAAAGAATAAAGTGAAGTAAAAGAAAAGCACACATTGCCGATTGCATGCCATTTCCGGAACGCCTCCTCACTTCTAACTTCTCTTCCAGGAATACCAAACCATTGAAGTAATCCAATTTTAGAATGACAAAACTGAATTTCAATTTTTTTGCCTTTGATTTGTACCTTAACATTCCAAGACATACAATGTATCACGATTCATCGCAGCGTTCGTCTTTTAACATACAACACTATTAACATATTGTCAGTGGACAGTAAGAAAACCGTATGCGTACATGTATATAACGCAAGTTTGTATGTACGCTTTCTTGCTTTTCTTTATAAACATTTCCCAAGCTGAAAGTATTTATGTATTAAAATGCATCAAAAGAACTAAATACATATCCACATTTATGATGTCAGAGATAAAAGAATTGGAAATTTGTTAAAAGTTTTGTTCTTTATCTTCTCTTTAGAAGAAGACCGCCCAGGATGGGGGTTCTCAGTGTGATCCTGCTTGGATGTCTAGCACTTCTGTCTGCTTCCAGTTCAGGTATAAAGCATAAGACAAGCACACTCTAAATACGTGGCAGACATACTGGGAGAAGCTATAGTTGACAAACCCAAAACATTCTGGTCGTACATAAAAGGACTGAGGAAAGACCTTGTCGGGGTAGCACCCCTAAAAGTGGGAAATACCATCATCAGTGACAGCGGGAAAAAAGCAGAAGTACTCAGTTCACAGTTCAAAAGTGTTTTCACAGAGGAAGACACCACAGATATGCCATCTCTAGGTCAGCCCTGTACTCCTCCAATGGAACATATAGTAGTTTCTACTGATGGTGTCGAAAAAATGCTTCAAGGTCTCAATCCCTCTAAAGCATCCGGACCAGACCAAATACCACCGTGGTTCCTCAAGTTGACAGCTAGTGAAATCGCGCCTGTTCTAACCAATATTTTCCAACACTCGCTAAACACTGCAGAAATCCCTAAAGATTGGAGGGATGCAAATATATGCGCCATCTTTAAAAAAGGAGATAGAGCGGTCCCCAGCAACTACAGACCTGTTTCACTGACCTGCATATCCTGCAAACTACTTGAACATATCATCCATAGCCAAATCATGAAGCACCTAGAAAGTTACAGTATATTAACGGATTACCAGCATGGATTCAGAGCCAAACGATCCACAGAAACACAGCTTATACTAACAGTCCATGACATAGCTGGCGCACTAAACAGCAAACGGCAGGTAGATTTAGCAATACTTGATTTCACTAAAGCCTTTGATAAAGTCCCCCATGGCAGGCTCATATCAAAACTGGAGTATTATGGAATCCAAGGCCCTACGCTGAATTGGTTAAAGGCTTTCCTGACCAACAGGGAGCAA